TTTAAGCATGACTGGACATCTCCATCACATAATGTCTTCCAAGACATGGAAATAGTGCATCCCTTTTTTAGTTACCTTATAGTTTTTCTCTTTACTATTTTAAATTTTATTAAATTTACTTAAGGAACTTGATACTTTTAAAATGGTCTCCACTTTTACATCGGGGTTTAACCAACAAGACAGTTCAGAACTCTTAAATGTGTACCGTTCACAAGATTGAGAACTTTTCCAAAATCCCAGGAAACCCCATCACATCCATTTCCAGTCAGTTCTCCCCCAACAATGGCGGCTATTGGGGTTTGGATCTGAAATGCTCCCCGAAGGCCTTGTGCTAGAAGCTGGGTCTCCAGCTGATGGTGGGGCCTGGGTGGATGAAGCAGGTCACAGGCTGGAGGGCGTGCCTCTGACAGGTTCATTCTTTTCCTGAAACCTCCATCTCTCTTTCCAGGCAACCGTGAGGGTGAGCATCTCCACTCCACCTTGTGCTCCCCATTTTGGCCTTTCCAAAGGCTCAACATGAGGGTGCCAAATGACCCTGGACTGAAACATCTGAAACCATGAGGCCAAATAAATATTTCTTGCTCTAAGTTGATTTTCTCAGGTATTTTGTTACAGTAACAGAAAATGGCTAACAGAAAATTGCTACCAGGAATGGGGTCATACTATGGGGTCATGCTGTGACTACATCTGATCCTAGTTTCATAAGCTCTTGGAATTGGTTTGTGGGGAGAGTTTGGAAAGCTTTGGAGACACAGGCTGGAGAAGCTCTGGAATATTGTACACAGAGCTTAAAGAACAATTCTGATGGACGCTCAGAAGACCAGTTTGCTGATAGTAATGCAGCCAGGAAAACTGTGTTCACGAGGTTTGGATGGGAAAGAGACCCCTGCTCGGGATTAGACCGGCGGTCCTTTGTGCAGTGTTCTGACAGAGAACTTGTGTAAGTTTTGACTGTGACCTGAGACTGTGTGTGAAGTTGAATTTGAAGGTGCTGGACTAACTTATCTAGCAAAGGAAATGTCAAGGCAGCACGGCCTTCAGGCTTGGCCTGGGTATTTCTGCCAACTTTTAGGCGGATTCACAGTGAGGATAGCGAGTAAGAAAGAGTGGAAGGATTCAAGAATTTGCAGCTCAGCCAGAAAAAAAGTTTGTGTAAAGTTGGGGTTGCTAAAGAGATTAATGCTACTTAGAAGCCAAGGACTTTTCAATGGGACAATGGGTCAAAGATGCCTTGAGGGCACCTCAGGAATTGGCCAGAGGCCACCCGTCTCAGGCTCGGGGTGAAGAAAGTGCAAACCCCTTGGAGAGACTTTGCTTTAAGGAGAGAGCTCTGGGCTGTCCTGTTTGCCCAGGTGTTGAGAGCCACAGCCGAAGGGGTCCCAGCAAACTTCCAGCTGCCAGCAAACTTCCAGCTGCTGGCTGATGATTGGCTCACAGCGGCCCCAGCAACATCTAGCTGATTGGCTCCTCTGCGGTCCCTGGCCAGGGACTGTCATCCACCATAGAGACTGATGCTCTGTGGGAGGACGGCAGCTTCCTGGCCTGTGTCTTGGGAATTTAAGGACGAAAACCACAACTCGTTTAGGGTCGTGTCAGCAAGCTAGTCACAGAAGTTAAAACAGTGACTAGTGGGACCTAAGCAGGACCGGGATTTTCCAGTTAGCAAGTTAAAGAAGCTAAAAAAAAAAAGCAGTTGGCTTAACGGCATCTTGGGTCCAAGCAAATGTTAGACAACGGAATCCTGTGTTTCAGCTGAGCGGGGGCGATAATCTATCTTAAAGTCATGTAGACCCATAAATGTACCCAAACCCAGGATGTAGCTCACCATATCCTAGAGTTGGGCACATTCTGTGGGGTACAAAGTACAGGAAAGGAGGGTTTTTTTTTTTTTTTAAAGAAGACAGCTTTCATTTCTGTTTCTCAGAAATGGATCCTGCAGGTCCCTCTTCACAGTAAGAGAAAAACTTCGATGCAGTCCAGAACAGCTAAGATGGAGTCCCCACAGCCACACTTTGTTTACATAAACTAAGTGGCTCCATCCCGCGGTCCCAGTACTCGTAACTTACTTGATGCTTACAGTTCTGTCCTTTACTCATCATTTTACTACTGACATCTGTAAGCCTTGTGTCTACCTGATCAAGCTAACACAACTGTTCCCGACTCTACTGACTTAACCTTGTCCACCTCTCTATTAACCTATCAGCCTGTATCGATCTGTAACTGTACTGGCATGCTGACGTACCACCTTTCACTGCTCCAAAGCTTTTTCCTGTGGCTTAAATCCCGTGGGTTACAGTTACGTGATTTTATTTCTGTTGCTGAGACTTACTCCTGATGAACTTATGCATGAACTTAGGTCTTACTGTTGCTCATCTATGTTATCTTACCTTATTCCTATAATCTATAACTGATGTCTATGACTTATGGATTATATTGATCAGTTCACACCACAACATAGTGACCTTGGAGGTGGACTTAATGCATTTTAAGTGGGAGACAGGCATAACTTTCGGGAGCTGGGGGGCAGAATGTTATGGTTTGGATCTTAAACGTCCCCCCAAAGAACATGAGCTATAGGTTTGGTCTCCAGTTCAAGTCACCGTTGGGAGGTAGTGGAAACAGGAGTGGGGTCCAGTTAGAGGGAGTAGGACACGGGGGGCATTCCTTTGCAGGTTTATTTTGTTCCTGGCTCCTGTCTGTATCTTTCTTTGCTCTCTGGCCACCACGAGGGGAGCGTCTCTGCTCTACCCTGAGCTCCCTGTCGGCATGTTACGCCTTAACAGAGGCCCAAAGCTCTGTGGTCAGGGGATCATGGGCTGAAGCCACGGGAATGTCGAGCCAAAATGAATCTTGCAGTAAGGGTCCTGCACAGTGCAAACCCAGAGCTTCACTCTTGTGCTCTGTCTGTAGTCCACGGCTTACCTCTGGATCCTCAGGACCCCAGGAAAGAGCAGAGAACTCACAGCTTTGGCGCAGAGGTACACTGGAATGCCGTCTTATTCTACTCAGAAGCACTTCTTTCTTCTGTACTTCTAAAAAGCATTTTTGTGCATTGGGGGACAGTGAGATCCATAAATTCCTTATGCTTCAAAGGGTCATAATGTAACAGGAGAATTAAACACATAAAATGATCATAGTGAAAAATGATCCTATGCTTAGTTACATTGACAAAATTTCTATGAAGTGTCACGAAAGCTTATGGGCGTTATCAGTTCTTCCTAAAATGTGAAGTGAGTTTCCATGGAAATATTCGAACCAAAATTTTCTAGCTAAAATGAGACCTTAAACAAAAAATGTGGAGAACTGGTATTCTACACTGAAGAAATGGCATGAATGAAAAACCATGGCATCAAAACGGAACGATGCACTTGGAGAACCGTGGATTATCTGGTGTGGCTGGATGTGGTGTGGTTGGGTCTAAAGGGGAATTTTGGTGTGATAACAAAAGTTCTGATCCTGTAAAGTACACAGAAATCGGGGGAGAATCTGTTTTGAGGCAGGGTCTCAAACCCCTTGGCTCAGGTGCTCCTCTGTCCTCAGGTTTCTGAGTAGCTGGGGCCACAGACACTTGTTACCATGTGCACCTAGGAGAGTCCTTGGGTTCTCTTTTTGGTCAATGAAGGAGTTGAAACAAACATTCCTTTGTGTTCTGACCATATCTACCTTATGTGCAAGGGAACCGGGTGCCACCTCTCTCACCACAGGCTCGGGTGGGATTTCAATGTAAGTCAGCATGGTCTTGTGCACCTTAGAATGGAGGGATCGCATGAGCAGATTTCTTGAATGGGTAATCACAGGTTCCCAAAAAGACGGGACTTTGTCCCTGGCCATTGGTGGGGAAGCCTTGGCATCTTTCTCCCCCTACGGAGTGAATAACCCGGGCCACGGGCAATGCAGAAGCTTTTTTTATTTTTATTTTTTTTTCCATTCAAGTCTGTCCAAGTAGCTGAAGCTGTGTGACTCTGTGAGCTCTGGAACACAAAAGTCTGTGGGAGGACTCGCCAGAGCCTTGCTAGGAGACAGAGCTCTAAAAACCACGGGACGCAGACCTGGTCGGGGCTGGGAGGACAGGAGGCCCCAGTCTTTGACCGAGGGGAGCTATTTCAGGATGTGGGGGTTGGGATGCAGAAAGACTGCCCAAGATTTCTTGGGGTTAGAGACCTGCATTTCTGAGCCTTATTTGTTCTTGGGGGCTGGGGATTGACTCAGGGCCTCCTGGATGCCGAGGAAGGGCTCCACCACTGGATCACATCCCCGGCCTGTGAATCCTGGATTTGCAAAGTTGGGTGTTCCTGTTTAACGTTGACACCCCCTGAGTTTGAAGTCATTATTAGTGACGAATGTCAGCCATGGAGAGTGATTTTTAAGGGCAAATGGAGAAGGTGGTTAGTAATTGTGTTTGAGGCCAGTTTGTTAAAGAGGAAGTAACTTATTATCGGTGTTGCCAGTGGTGGCAACTAAGATTGAAGAAGAACAGAGCCCAGAGGGGAAGTCTGGCTGTGTGTCTAGCTGTCCCTCCCCGGCTCTCTCCTTCAAAGGCTCCTCTCTGCTTACACCTGGGGGTTTGCTGCTGCTTTTTAATACAGGAAAACTAGCTTCATGCTAAAGTTAGGAAGGTCAGACTCCCAACTACAAAAATAGGGCGTCTGTGAGGCCAAGCTGCCCAAACCAAGCTCTGCATACTTTGAACAAACTCTGGAGAGAGATTTTCCTGAATAAGAAAATGACTCTGACTTTCAAAGAGGAGCCTGAGATTCAGGACCGACTGTCTCAGGATAGCTCTGGGAAACCAGCCTGGGCCGAGGGGAGGACTGAGCTCACACTCGTCTGTAACTGGAGACGTGTTGGATTTGACCTCCCCACTGTCGTTAGCAGAGCAAGTGAGCCCGGACGGCGACGCTCTGAGCTCCCGGGAACATTCCTCACGCACTCAGTTCCCCAAATATTACCTCTGGGCCCCAGAGTGGGAAGGGTCAGTCATCCCAGGAGGCAGACAGATCTACCACATGAAGCACAATTTATTAGCAGGTAAGCAGAAGAGAAGTGCAGACGGGGGGCATTGGGGACGGTGTCGAGGCAGAAGCTATGCATCCTCTCTGATGGGACCCTCATGTCAGGGTAGAGCCCCAGCAAAAGCCCAGACAGTTTCCTTGCCTGGGGAGATGGAGGGGCCACAGGTACGGCCAAGCTGGGGGTGCAGAGGAGGAGGTCCTTCTCACGCCCACCTGGGAGATCCTCAGGGTGGGATACAGAAAAGGCCCTGGAGCCCAAGAGGGGCTCATGGTGAGAGGTGCAATGGGAGGACTTTCTGACAGTGGCTCCTTGGACCCCAGTAGGAGGAGGAGGGGAGATCTGGAGCTGGAGGGATGAAGAGCAGGCGGGGGCGAGGCCCTCGGTAGCCTGGACGGCAGCAGGTGGTGGCCCCCACCATCCTCACTTCTGTTTACTCTTGGGAGTTTGCTGGGATGAGGGACTCTTCTGCTGGCTCGTGCCCTTGGGTGGGCATTGCTTCTTGGCCTGGGGGGCGCACGGATCCTTGGTTTGGGGTGCACAGGTCTCTTGGCATTTGACAGGCGGCGGCTGACAGGGCTGCTTCACCTGCTGCTGCTGGACCCGCTGGGGTGGGCAATGTTGCTGCTGCTGCTGCGAAGACATGGCTCCAGGAACAGGTGAGTCTGCAGGGAATCCACGGAGGGTGCATGAGACGGGCTCCCTCCCTCGTGCTGCCTGGCTCTCAGAGGGGTGCTTTCCTCTCAAAGGCAGGGACGGGACCCATGATTAACTGCTTCGAGGTGACCAGTGGGTTGCTGGACACGCCACCCACTAGGTCCTCCCCCTCTCCCCTCTTCCTTCTCCTGGGCTGTTCAGCTTTCCCATCTTCCTTGGCCCTCCCATGGACTCCGGGTTGAACTGAGCCCGTGATTTGCTTTCAGTCTCACCAGGAAATAAGGTGTGGTGGGGGACTGAGGAAGGAAGCCCAGGCCTTTTGAAAGTTTAAGGAGCGAGATTTTCACTGTTGGGCGTGTCGACTGGCCGCCCTGGACAGTGCAGATGGTGAGTGTGGACAGGAAGGGAGGGAGGGATGAGGAAGGAGGCAGGGCAGCCTCTGTCTCAAAGGGCAGTGTGAAGGTGCGCTAAGCAGGGACACAGATGCCTGGGTCCCAAACCCCACTCCGCCCCTAACGCACCTCGGAATGATAAGGGGAGTCACTGAACATGGCTGCCGCATGGAGGTTCCAGTCCTCCATGAGAACTGGGGACCATGAGGGCCAAATAGAGGCAAAGTATCCGAGGAGGGTGTTTTAACAGAGACAGCCTGGTTCAAAGGAAAGAGCACTGAACCACCAGGCTCTGGCCTGGGTTCCCATGCAAACCGGCCAGTCGCTGGCCACGGGTACCTGCGGGCACTCTGCTTTCCCTGAACCTCTGTGCCCTTAAGGAAGAATACAGGTTGAACATTCTCTGAGGCCTTCTTAGTTCTAATGAGGATCTCTGGCTTTCTTTCTAGGCAGAACTCCGCATCTTACAAATTGGTGATTATAAATGGGAAGTATAGGTCCCATCAAGTGGAGGGGTGGCAATTGGAATGGCAAGGTGTGGGGATGTGCGGTATGAAATGCAGTGTCCACTATGACTGCTTTTGTAAACCTAATAAAAGCAAAGTTTGAAGCTTGCAGCCGGGCCCAAAGGCAAACCAGAGCACGAGAAAAGTCCAGAGGGGACTCAGAGCTGTGACCAAATGCTGCAGCCCTAGGTACCTCCCTCTTCATGAGAAAGATTCTCTTGCTAAAGAGTTAAGCCCCGGATCAGGAAATGTCATGTCTAGCCATGGTGTGAAAGGACCATTTGGATTTCCTAAGTAATAATTATTGTCACATTTCTGTAATTGTCAAGAAGCTTTGTCACTTCCTTGATTGCCCAACAACAGGAGAGGAGCTTGGCCTAGCGGCTCAGAGCAGTTCAAGGAGAAGGAAAGAGCCCACAAATCCCAGGGCACAGGAGCCATCTCACTTACCGGAGGCAG